ATCTGTTAGGGAGTTGTCCAAATAGTCACTGAGGAGGACTGATATTACATAACATTTCAGTATAATTTCTTTTGTTTTAATCAAATTTTTCTAGAAAATACTTTATTTAACTTTTTGAATTTCATCATTTCGTTAATCCAATGTGAATTCAGATTTTAATGTTTTGCATGTTTTTGTGCTCAGTTAGTTTGTAAACTGACCTATGTTTTTTTTGTAAAATATTGTGGAATGTTCTACAAATTGTCTTATCTAATTTTACATTGATGACTATTTAACTCAAAAAATTAAAAAATGTACAAAAACAAAAAATAAAATACATTTGTTTCATGTTTTTGGAACAGAAAAATTGAAATATAAACATTTAAAAAACTTCAGGACAAGATTTTTGTCTTGAAATACAAGAATTTTCCCAATTAGTTTTTTTCCCAAAAGATAATTTCTCTCTTCAATAAATAAAAAAGGGAAAATTTTAATTAATTTAGTTGAAATTCAAATTGAAAATAAATATCAAGTAAGCAAATGCAAAGATCTAACAACATGGCACCAGATGAAGAAATATCCAGTTATTAATATGGATTTTTATCCAAGTATGCACATAGATTTTAAAGACAAAATAAAAACAAAAATGCGCCAGGAATCTTGACTTACAGTTCAAACTTAAATGCCGCAGTAAGGAAACAGTGCTTAATTCCAAAATGGATGGGCATCCAACATCCGCGATCAAGTCTGGAACTTTTAATCTTTACTAAGAATTTATCAATGTTCCGAATGGAGCGAAAAAACAAACTGCTTTACAACTAATCTTCAAATGAAGTTTTAAAAATGATAACAATTTTTTCAGAGGTTTGAGTCACAAATAATTTTATTTCAAAAAGGCTAAATCTTTTCCCAGTTTAAAATATTTATTTTATTCATTTTTAAACTGGCATTTATTTTCAATTCTTAAATTGCTTAGTTTCACCATGAGTCAGGAATAAACGAATGTTCAATAATAAATTTACAACAAACTCAAATTGTGGTTTCATTAAAGTTTTTCCCTTACAAAAAGAAATTTTGTTAGAAAAATCAAAAAAAAATTTGAAAAAAAAACAAATGAATATAAAGAAATGCCTTTTGCAATGATTCAAATTTTTTGATTTTTACATCTAGTCATGCACAATATGAACCATTTTCATGTCATTGAATAAATTTTCCCAATTTGTGTATTCTACAATTATATAAAACCAAACTTTTTTTTTATTTGCTGTTGCTGGAGTTTAAATTTTTGGATAAAATGTTTCTTTACGCTCAGCCGCCAAGCTCTGGTCATCTAGAATTTTATTTACACCTGTATACCATTGTATTATCAGCATAACTATTCATAAATATACTCTTTGGCAGATCATTTATGTAAATCAGAAAGAGGGTTCGATCGAGAAGTGGACCTTGGGGATATTGTAGACTGGCCGTTAACAGCTACCTTCAGGAACCTACTTATCCAGTAGTTCTATAGCTAGAGAGCTTGTGCAGTAACCTCTATGCCACGTGTTATCAATGATTTTCCTTTATTTGTGTTCGTTGTCTGTTGCGTCATTGATTCTATGATTAATAGCAATTAGGGATATCAGCAGTAAACCGAGCCGATCGAAAACCTGTGCTGTTTGTAGCTCAAGAGGTTGTCCCTACGGAGGTGATCAATAACGGTGTTGTTGTTTATAGCTTCAAAAAAATTTAATAATGGCACTGAGGAGGCTTATGGGTCTATACTTTGACAGGGATGAGCGTCCACCATCATTCTTAATATTCTTAAGGGCAACAGCTTCGATTTTATCTGGACCGGTTGCCTGCTTTTGATACGTCTTGAGAATTTTCCCGGTCTGTAATCAGTGGCATAGCTAGAGTGTATGTCGCCTGGGCAGCCCTAAGTTTGCCGGCTCGGCCCCCAGAAAATTGCACATTGACTAACTCTAAAGTTATAAGACCAGTTTGTATACCATGTCATTATAATATTACTTTCACATACGCAAATATAGTGTGCTTTAAATACACAGCAAAATACTTACATATTATCAGTTAAAAATCAAAAACGATGTATAGAGAAACAAGTTTAAAGAATTCGGACCATCTTTATTTCTGAAATGAAAATTACATCTTTCTACAAAGTAATTTTTCTTGTTTTTTTGTTGGCAAATTCTTCGATGACACCATCAAAAACTCTTTCATCTGTCAATTGTCGTTCTGTAGACAATAGAAAGTCAATATATATGCCATAGTTTAAGTTACTCGAAATCGAAAAGATCCTTTAACTGTGAGTACTGCCCCGACATTAAATCCACATTGATTTCAATAGAGCTCTTATACAGGCTTATAGCCTACAGCAGACACAATAGTGCCGCCCCCATGAAAGTTACGCCCGAGCGGATGCCCCTCTAGCCTTACCACGGGATGTAATAAAAATATTAATGAGATTATGCTCAATGAGACGGGGGAAGTCGAGAAGGGGATAACCTTTGTAATCTAGTGCTGAGTTAGAGGCAAAGATTATTGAAAAGAGCTTTGACCTATCTGATAGGATGAGACTACATCGTGATCGCTTACTCTTTAGGAGACCGATTTGAAATTGTATTTATATTATGAACAGAACCCTCTTTCTAAAATGATCAAAATCAATATTTTCTTTTTGTCGATAGAGGAAGCTCTAATGAAAGCTAGTTACAAAAATTATTACCCCATCCTATTTTCCCTATTTTGACAAGTCAATTTAAGTAGTGCCGAGAGTCAAGCCGATCGCTTATTCCAACCAAAAGACCATATCTGATAGTAGTTAATAAGAAATAATAGGCCGGTTTTGCAGTTCTGTTGGAATCGATAAATTGATAAGATGGGTAAACATTTGGAACTTGTCAGGGAGCTAAGAATGTTATTGAATTTAAATGTGAGAGTCGCACTGGTGGTTAACGAAGCACCAGGAATAGCTCGAAAAGACTATAAAAAACAAATGAAAGAAAAAGGAAATTAGATGATTTGGAATCATCCAGGTTAGTACATTAGTAAAAATCGATACAAAAAGTAAGAGGAGTGATGTGACTTGCTGTCACATAATCTCTTATGTAAGACAACAGTTACTATTGGTGTTGATACTCAGTGGGGAAAATAATATAATTTCCTACTATAACGATTGAAAATAAATAAGAAAAATTTTTTTTGTTCTTGATCAAATTAACCTGTTCTTTTCTTCTTTTCAAATTGGCACAGAAAAACTCTTCTCATATTTAATGTTTCAATAGACTTCCGTCTAACCGGAAGTAGTTAATCATTTTTCCCTTATTTCCATTTTAATTTTGAGTCGATTCTTAGGAAAAATAATCTTTTCTTTTTCAATTTGCTTTTAATCCTTCCCACTATCGTCCACCCCAAAATTCGTTCAGTGAAATTTCGCGTTTCGTCTTCTCCATTTCTTTTATTCTTCTTCGATGTCAATCCACAGAGCAATCATCAAAATTGTCAGCCAAGGATATTTTGTCCTATTGAAAACCATTTCAACTATAAAAAATAATCGATACCACCGTAATCTAAGCGAAGGTTTTCTTTCTTTTATTTTTATTTTTATTTTCCCGCTGTTCGTCTTTAAAACAATTCATAACATCTTCTCCCTAACACGCACAGGCGCATATATTTACTGCAGATGGGTTTACACGGCAGAAAGAAATGCGGAAAGTCAGTAAATTATTTTGTGGCAAACTTTCAAAAAAGAAAGTAGCTTTCAAAATCAGCATTCAAAATGACTACTTGTGATATAAAGGAGCCAGATCAGGATTACTGTTGGCATATATTGGTAAGATCTGCCCACTGTTCACTTTCCAAAAGTGGCCTTGTGGGTGATGAATTGTTTCCATCTTATCACCGATTTCCCACATACGAAACGTTTCAAGTCTTTCGCTAATCTATTACGATTTCCATAGAAAATGTTCAAAGAAACAATATTCTTTAGTTTCACCTGTTGTATCCTTAACAGCTAAGACCCGCCAAGCCACGCACATTGTAGTAAACTACATATAATCCCTTCACATTCTATTAGTGAGATGTAAGTTCCATTAGAATAGTTTCTTCTCATGAACAGCTATCTTGTAGAAGCGAATTTCCAAGAAGATGTTTCTCCGATTACTACAATCTTAAATGGTGCATGTCTACAGTTAATCTTTATCTTCCGCACATATACTCATATTCTGTAACCCTCTACCTGGAGTCGCTCTCCGGCTTTGTATAAGGTGAACATTATTGTAAAAAATTAAATCCAGCATCAGTATTTATAGCATACAAAATAAGAAACTTCAGGAAACACGAAAATTATGATTCATGCCTTTTTCTTGACATTATGGCGCATTATGAAAAAGCTTATTGTGGATTTTGAAACCCAAACAATTTTCTGCAAGTCTCTATTTACTTCCATTCTTTCACGTTTACGTCTGTATTTTTATCACAATGTCTTTTCTTTTCTTTTTTTTTTTCTCACTCTTTTCGTAATCTTTCCTCTTCATTGGTTTGCATTTTTCTTTTCATCCAAACATCTTTTCTCCTCGTTTATTTAATGCTTTTCATTTATATAAAATCGATGATGAAAACAGTAAAAAACAAAAATTCTATCTGACTGGTGAGATCTTATATAAGTAATGTCTACTTTATTTTCACATTTTTGTTCATTTTTAAGAGAATTTTTAGGCTGATATTAAATCTTATTTTAGTTTCTTTTTCATTTCTCTCTCCATTTTTGTTTTTGTTGATGTTTTGTGTTGTTGTTTTTCGTCTTGCAAAGTTGCTACTGTGTATGTTCTTAACACTGATGTCTTTGTGTTTATGTTCCTCTAGAAACAGGTTAATGCATTCATTTATGAGATGCGTTATTGGCTCCACTCGGTATTTTACTGTTTTGATGGGGTTTTTTTTTCATTATTTTCGAATTGATTGAACCACGTGTCACAGTTGTCTATGTAGTGAAAAATGTAAATATCGAATATTGATAAATGTATCTCTTTTTATCACACGCATATTATTGCGCTTTGTATAAGCCTGAAGCAAATCATAGTTTATTTTGTGATGTTGCTCGTCCTCTCTACTACGAAAAGATAACAGTCAGGAAATATTACAGAAACGATACAATTATAGCTTTATACTGACTTCTCTCATTATTTTCTTCTTCTTCTTCTTCTTCTTCTTCTTCTTCTTCTTCTTATTTTTATTTTTATTATTATTATTATTATTATTATTCTCCTTCTTAGGATCGTCGTCTTCATCATTTTCTTCTTTTTGAGAATCTTCTTTTCTCTTCTTTTTTTCACTTTAGTATCTTTATTTTCTTTTTTCTTCTTCTTTCTCATCTTCTTCTTTTTCATCATCTTTATCATCAACGCTTTCTTCTTTTTCTTCAGCATTTTTTTTTCACTATCTTCTTTTTTCCGATCTCTTTATCGTCATCTTCTTTTTCGTCATCTTTATCATGAACTCTTTCTTCTCTTCTTTAGCATCTTCTTTTCCTCGATCTTCTATTTCTCCGTCTTCATTATCGTCATCTTTTTCATCATTTTGTCTGATTCTTTATCATCATCCTATTCCTTTAATTCTTATTCAACATCATCCTAATTTTCATCATCATCATCGTAATCATCTTTGTCGGCATCGTTTTCTTCTTGACCGCATTCCGCCCGTAATTCTCACACTGTTCCGCCATTTATTTCTTTCTGTAAATTAAATCCGTGTAATTCTCCACCTCGCCTCGATCCAAATTTCTCAAAATAATAATTCTTCTTTGCAAGGTTGTTTTTCTTCTTCCCAATTTACAGTCGAAATCTTCTTCCGTTTCCACTGGCGATATCAATTTCATCTCTTTATCTATTGGCAGGAAACCGAAGACCCTATTCAATTAGAAGTTGTCGCTATGCCACCATTAGTCACGTGTCACGCTGTCTACAAACAAGAAAGCCCCATCGATTTTCCTGCTAATTATCACTGCTATTTACCTCCTGTGACAACATCTTTATCGTGTTAAATGTCATTTATATTTTTTGTACTATATTCAATTGAGATTACATGATCAGTTAAAAACTCTTTCGCTGGATTCTGTAGGATATTTTTACCAAATTCTCTTCATCATTTTACGAGCAACTGACCAAATTTAATGCTTCAATTAAAGTAATATTACCCGTATTATAACAAGACGGCTGTGTCTGCTTAGTGACTGACATAGTTGCGTCTTTTCCACAATGGTGCAAATTCATGGTGCTCAAGCCTAGGAAAAAGGATAGCATCTGATTGTCAAGCTGTTTCTAATTTGTAAGATCCACGCCCTCAGCCATCGGGTGGATTGAACTGCGACCTTGCCAGGGTGGATTGAGTTTCAATACTTGGGTGACAATCAGCCCTAAACAAAAAAAAACTATTTTACTCTAAACTACAACGAGAAATCACTCTATTATCTTTTCCACGAATTCATAGATTATAAAGAAAAAGTATATCCGCCGAGAACCATCAGCGCCTATGTCCTAAAGGGAAAATTGCAAGAAAAAAAAAAAAAATAGCAGCAAAATAATATCACTATTTTCTACTATTTGACCTTATGCCGTACTGGGCGAAGTAAAATAAAGCACTTTAGGTTGTACGCATAAATCAACGCAGAAAGTAAACTAATGATTTAAGGAACACTGACAAATGACCAAGAGAATGGGAAAGAAAAAAAAAATTGCCCGGTTACTCTCTAGAAATTGTCCTTAAGTGGGGAAAAAAAAAAAAAAAAAGAGAAAATTAAAAAGGATATTACTATTCAAATTGATCACAAAATCGAGAAGTTCCGATACTCTTTTAAGGAACAAACTAATCAGTGGAATTTGGGATTTAAAACATGAACAATCCTATTATTATGGAATTTTTACTAGTATTTCTTCCATTTTATTTTGGTTTTTTTTTAGCGTAACCCCGGATTGATATTATTAAGTAAAAATCGTAGGTTAGAAATTAATAAAAATTGCATAGATATGAACTCACGTCACGTATCCTTGTCAAGAAAAAAAGCGCTTTAGTGGGTTTTATGAGAATAGTGAGAAATGTACTGGGAATATGTTGTCTTCCTACCGTTTTCGAGATTGTGTGACAGCAGCATAAAGTAAATCATTCTTCTACATACATTGTTTTCAAGCCTTCAACTTCCCTTACTTATTACGACATGCAAAGAAAAGGGCCTTTTGGGATCCTTAATGAATTGTATCCCAGTTTCTTGTTCTTATTTGACATGAGTGGCAGCCATCGTGGTCTCTTGGTTCTGTAACCCATTCAATGTGTTGAACGTTCAGGGATACTCTTCTATTTACCATCAAGAATAAAGAGTGGTTAGTTCAGCTGCTGTGGCCTTTCTGTCTGCGTATAAGAGTATCTCCTGACATATTTCAGAACTACTGCTCGAACTTTATTTCGTTTTTTCAGAAGATTTTCAATAACATCCGTGAAAATCCTAGTAGATCAGCAGATTTTGAGATACTCAAACCTGCACGTCTTGCACCAACGAGCATACCACGTCTAAAGCAATTTAAATTTCTCTCTCATAATGACCATGTTTGAATACATATATTCATTAAATACCTACCATGACATTGGCTGATTATTTATATATATATATATATATATATATATATATATATATATGTGTGTGTGTGTGTGTGTGTGTGTGTATGCACATTTCATTGAATACAACAGACAAGGTGTTCTTATTTAGTTTTTTTATACAATTTCTCATGCGATCTAATAATTTTTCTTTTTAAAAAAATGATTAGATTATATATATATATATATATATATAAAAAGAGAGAGAGAGATGAGAGGGAGAGAAAGAGGATTAATATGAGTAAAATTTGTTAGCTGATTGATGTTATCTTCAGCATCCCGATCCAGAGTTTTTCCGACGGACCTTCGCAGGTTATCATCAATTTACTGCTTACATTTTTCAATTTTTTCTGTTTATACACATTTAGCACTGGTGTAAATTTTCTTGCTATATTCTCTGTGTTTATGCGTGCGCTTGTCCGCCTGAACACATCTGGAAGTATGTGCCTCGTGATTATTTTTTGCCTTTCTATTTTTATATCTGCAACAGACTTCGTCTGGCTTTGATCCGGCTCTAGATATGTGACCTATTTTTTTTTCCATGGACATTTTAGATTTTTGGGAAGTTGTATATTGTTTATTTACGTTTTTATATAAATAATTGGTATTAATGCATGGTCAATAAATATTTTTTTTACATATATCCATATATACACTTACCTCGCCGGGCGAAGCGAGCACGTACCGATTTGTCGTGAAAATCCAACATGGCCGACGTCGAGAAGGAGCGACCATATCACGCGTGGTCTCGAGGAGCGGCCATTTGCAATCGTCCCACTACGCATGCGTGACGATTATTTGAATGCTTGGAAATAGTAATAAGTAGTAGTTCGCACAGTTAAATGGGGGAGCGAACAGAGTACGGAGCATTTGTTTGGATCAGAGTGCGTAGAAATTTCGCTGCGAGAGTTGAACTCTGTTGATTCGTTGTGTGACCTAAGTATTTACGTTCCTGGCCTTTGACCGTTGACCTCTTCCACACACACACACACACACACACACATATATATATATATATATATATATATATATATATATATATATATATATATATATATAATAAATATTTAAATACACATGCCCATACGTACATACTCTCATACATATACAGATACATACATACATATATTTATATAGGTCCACTGGGCTATTATATCGTTTTTTAATTGAGTTTGGTGATATCATAAGTATTAACTGTAGGAGGTTAGATTTATAATTAAATTTATTTATTATTGTTAGAATTTATATGCATATGTATTAATTGTACACACATGTACACATGCACATCTATTCAATCTCCAGTCCCCCACCCCTGATGCAAGGAAAATCGATAAAACTGAAGGTGTGTACGACTTGTGCAAACAAAATTTTTACTGGATGAACTGTTATTTTTTGCAGTTAATGCAAATCTATAAACCTTCATTGTTTTTCCTGCAACAATGGCTTGACACAAAAAAATTGCAATTAAAACTGAAAAAAAATCAAGGTTTTCATACTATTTCAAATAATTCCCATTTTTGTCCAATTTTCTTCAAGATGTTGCAAAAATTTACCAAATGCATGAAGTAAGATAATGGTTTCCTTCTCGTTTATGAAATCCACGAAAACTGTTTAAAAAGCCCGTTTTTGTTTTGGTTTGTTTTTTTCATCCGATGCTTTCCAAATTTACCATGTATTTTACATATGACGCACAAATTGTCCTGAAATGTTTGGTTTAGATTAAAAGTTAATTGAACGAAATCTACGACAAACTACGGCCAAAAATCGGCTTTTGCTATTTAGCCAATAGTTTCTTCATATGATTCCATCCTAAATTAGCATTCGAACAACCTTTGATGCAAAGATTGTTTGAGAAGGATTATTGAAGCGTTAAAAGGGAAAAATTCCCGAAGAACCTCTTATTAACCCCAGCTTTACAGTAAAAGTGCGAAGAAGGAGGGGGCGTTCATGCGTTTGCACTTGCAGTTGAATCAAGCTCTGACGCTTCATCCCTGTTTTTGTTTGATTATTAGATTTGTGAATAATGCCATACTATTTGAAAGTTATTACGGCCATAGGAAATTTATTGAATATCTAAAACATTGAAACAATTTAACCCCGAGCAACGACCACACAAGAAGGTTTTATCGATGGAATTCCTTTATTAAGAACAATCAAACACTTGCGAAGGACATACCGTAAAAAAGATGAAAGGGGAATAGCTTAGTATACCAACGGATCATGCATGCAAGCAGGGACGCAAGCATACATTTCTAGACAGGAAGATACGCGTATACATAGTGTGCAGTTATACAATTGCAACCATATACACCCGGCAACGCCAGGTACCTCATCTATATATATATATATATATATATATATATATATATATATATATATATAAGTCTATTAAAGATAACTATTGAGAGGCATGATTGAAAAATTTGGCATGAGACACACAGAAGTCAAGACTCTCATTCACGTCCACACGCAAAAAAAGCATCCGTACTATGAAAACTATATGAGATCTTTAAAACAAACAACGGCGACAAAGTTTACAGTAAGAACTAAATTTTACCTATATCTTGTATAATCGTTAAGATAAGCACACACAACATAAGTGACCCTTTTACCCAAACGATACTGTGTTTGACCAAATCAAATAAGTTATATTTGTTTATGAAAAGAAAAAAAGAAACATATGACAACAATTCACTGTTTCTCACGTACGTACATGAATTATATTTGTTTATTTATTCCTATTTGGCCTTAAAACGAAATAAAATACAATTAAATTCGTAAAACAAATATACAACACGAGTAATGTCATCCGTAGGTCATGTCTGTTTCTCATAACTTTTATTTAACCAAAGTTCTTTTTTTTTCTTTTCAAAAACAAATATAACTTGAATTTGGCCGGTTAGGTCACCGTTATTTTGGATACAACTCCTTAATAGTTACGCAGAAAAAAAATTGGATTAAACGAAAATTACTTACAATGTAATACATATTTTTATAATACATTATTTTGCCGTCAATTTTGATTTGGAATTGGTTATTATATATATACATATATATAAATATATATATATATATGTGTGTGTATGTGTGTGTGTGTGTGTTTGTTTCTTTCTTTGCTCTTGCGCGGTGCTATCTTGAAAAAAAGTGATAGAGAATCGCATTCATGTGGAACCCAGCGTTTCAAATCTCAAATCTATAATCTATCTATCTAAGAATAAATAATCTATTTATTATAACATATTTCATTATTCTATATTATCTATCTATCTTTTTA